GACTCCCGGGATAATACAGTCCAAAAAAAATGCAAACTTCGAATTTGCTAGAACGTGGCATAGTTGCAACTTTGTAAATTGATTTTAGGAAGTAAATCACATTGTATCTGAGAAATGGGCGGCAATATTCATGATCTGATATTGCTTGTCCGCTCTGTAGCGAAATCATACCGCAAAAAATAATTTTTTTTTCAACTGAAATGCGACGAAATGCTTCTTCCAACACTACATTTTGCGTATATAAAAGTCCACTATTCCTGGTTTCTTCGAGTTTTGTGAGTGGTAAAGCGATCTCAAGTAGGACTCACCTCGCAAAACTATGCTCGAAAGGTGAGAATTATACTATACATGTTCTCAAAATCGCTGCTGGGCGCGGAGTTTGAATATAAGAACATTTGAACTGCATCAAAACGCAGTCACTCAACTATATGGATTCACTACTTCATTGGCGTAACTTAAAGCGAGCTTAGATGTACATGTTATGATAGAGTTCTCAAAAAAAGCCGAAGAACTTTAAGAAGCTCTTAATGTTACATATTTATAAAGAAAAAATGGGAGAAAAACGCAATACGTTTTTTGACGAATATTTCTAGAGATACCACTGTGTTCATTGTCTACTGTAATGCTCTGTCATCTCACCTGTCTAGCAATTTCAGCTGTACCACGTCCGTCGAAATATATCAGTTTATACTGAACCATTCTTAAACGTTCATTGTTCAGCGAATAATATGACAGCATGCATTGACATACGAAGGTAGATCTTCATCCATAGCGTCAGAAGTAGTCACCACCTCTTCCTAGAAGTCCCGAACAAAATAATTACTCACTGTACTACATGACTGTTATCAACGCATTTTGTTCAACATCAAAACCACGTTGTATTATGTTTGCACCTGGCATCGTTGCATTATCGTCTTTTCCCAAATCCCCTTAGCTTTTCGCATGGTGATACAGTATTCGCATTCGCATTTGCTCATCTGTCCAATAAATCACATTTGAGGAAAAGACAAGAACGCGCCAGAACAACAAGTAGATCTTCGAATGTGTGCACAGCTATTTTTATATTCACTGCATCCACAATCTACAGCACAGTCATGGCGCCGATACAATAACTGAGTATTTGACAAAAAATGTAACTACAATTTCAGCTATTCTTAACAACAAGCAAAGAAGTTGAGGAAATAGCGAAAACTGCGCAACACATGTATTCCTTTACATGGTTTCGAAACAAAATCCTAATGTTTGTCGAAGAGATGGTAAAATCACTTTAATAAAAAAAGCAAATTGAGTAAGAAGGCATTACAGGAATTCGTGGTGTTTCGAAGATGAAAAAATCGTGTCTTATCCAAGATAGTCAGGATGTCCATTAAGTTTTGAAACTAACAATCTCTGCATTACCGTCTGTTTCGATTATGGATAAGTGCTTATCAACAATATACTGGGCGTCGGTAAAAATCATCATCTGGCACCTATCTGACAAAGCCGGGACTCCTTTCATCCAGCAGAAAGCTGTGTGAAGCTGAAAGCACTCTCTAACCATGCGCAATGAAGTTGGCAGTAATTCTTTTCACTAAGAACAGTTGGTTATCTTGAGCAATTGCTGCTTGAGGTGGTGTCTTCTTTAAGGCCTGGTGTGTAGCTCCATGAGCAGCAATGATTGTTTTCTTTTTGAGAAAAGGGCTAACGT